CCAACTGAGCCAAAGGTAAGAAAACTACATCCTTGAGTCGAGCTTGTGACTGCACGCCCGTTCCTATGCCGTTTTCTTGCCAGCATGGAAGGAATGAGCTGTTGGCTTTTGCTTCAGTTTCCTGGTTCACCCTATAACTCTGAAATTCCCTGGTCCTATCCAGACATGGTCCTGCTTAGCTTTCCAACCCAACTAGACTCAGCCAGGGATTGCTACCAGTTGAGACCTAGGCACACCTCTTACTTCAGTTAACTTGTGTTGTTGCAATAAACAGAAATATCCCCCCCCCCGACAAGTTATCAAACTGTAGAATTTATTGCATTTGTAGTCATTGTAGCATGTTGGATGTCTGGAAAACCAAGCTGGGTATTCATGACCTGGCTATTTAATGTAGAGTCCTTGGTGCTCTCTGAGCTTCGTTGTTTGCTTACAGACTTTTCATTACCTGACTAGGTAACATCATCAGTGCGATTGAGTGTGGGGTTTGCTCTCTGTTTATATATAGTAGCTTGCCCTGCCAGTGTTGGTGGTGGTGTGATTTTCTCCTTGCTAGTTCCGTTATTTAATGTAGCCTGAAATGATTAGAGATTGCAAAAGAGCTGTACTTGGTAGACAATGCTGTCAAATTATAAAGGAACATTCTTAACATCAGTGAAATATAATGAAATAGGTTGTTCATTATGTTACACTTGCTGCCCTTCACTAATCCAGAACATAGCAACTGTAGGGATATGGCTAGATAAATTAATTTCTCTACTGTTGTTTTGTGCTTGCATACCACTATGATTAAGTAAATGCTTTTCCTAAGTGGGATGTATTGGCAATGACATTTTTTTGCCCTGAGATGATGTTTATGTCAGAAGAAGTTACACAGTTCATGGCTGTCCTTGAGACGCTACTGTGTGACATGGTGTTCATAGGTTCTTTACGTCCCATTAGTGTCTTCTCTGATTAGCAATGGCTCTCCAAGTCTCTGAGTTAAAATTCTTGGGATTCCAAACATCTCTGAATGGAACTAGTGTAGGAATTAAATTCCAAATAGCAGTTTTCCTTGGAACTGCCCATCAGCTGTGGTCTTGGCCAGGATCCACAGCTTCAGAAAATAAGTGTGAGGATATAATAATATCCTTGAAAGGGCACACACATGTAATAAGAACTCAAACAAGCTTTACTGATTGCAAAATTGCAAGAAGATGTAAGTACAGATATGAATAGTCTTACCTTGAAGCAAGCTTTTCCTTAACATAGACGTTAGTCTACTAAGATTTACTATCACTTAATGTAAATTATACTTATTCTTCTAATACAGAATTATACTTATTCTTCTAAAACAGAAAAGCCCACAAAGGCAGTAGCACACTGTAAATGGAAGGGTCAGACCCTGACTAACACCGAAAGGTTTTCGTATACCAGTTGAAAATCCTCCCAAATCCTTCACTTAACAACATACGTTCCGAAGAAAAAACGTGCTCTCTTAAGATCCATTCAATTAGTTGCCCCTTCCCTCTTTGTTACACATGACCATGCTGTGATAAGGTGTATGATCAGGTCAAGATTAATAATTATCAACCTGAAGCAAACCTGTTAATCAGTTCCCCCTTCTAGATGAACAGGACGCAACGTTGCATATGAGGTACCAGAAAGTTTCATTTCCATCTAGGTTTGCTGTAGTATGTTAGGAGAAAGGGGATACAGTAATATTCTAAAGATGCAGGTTAGAATGAAAGATTATGAGAGAACAATGTGAAATAAAATGACTATGCATTATGATAAAGTAAAACTAGAAGCCTAATCTCATCAAGATCCATGGGAAGTTGTAATGGAATGTGGGAAAGACCTTGGGAGACAGGGCCCAGAGACGCTGCCAAGGGAACGGTCAAATAAGAGACAGCATAGCCCACAGTTAGACAATGGGCGGGGCAAGAGGCTCAGAAGGGACCCTCCCTAGTTTCTTGGGCTGTAAAGGAGACGGGGAGAACTGAACTTTCAGACTTGCAAGATTCTGGCAATGTAGTGTTACCATAAAATAGAATTAGTTGTGATTCCTATCTGGTTTACCTCACAAGGCCAACAGAAATATAGAAAGCCACAGGAAAAGATGGCATATCGGGACTCGTCCCAAAGCTCTTGTGATAATTGCTCCAGGATATGAGTGATTACTACAAGAGCATGTGAGCATTGAACATGAAGCTTGTGTATCTTAACTGTTACATCTGTGGGTTAGCTGTCAGAAGAGCAAGCCCCCCCCAATTTAAATTAACTAAACCCTTCTTGTAGATTGAATAGCCCAAGGAACAGGAAAGGGTAGATCTCAGACAACAAAACATTGTGATTCTATATTGGAACAAGAGGCATAGAACAAAGAACTAGAAACATTAAGCAAAAGGAGGAACCACAGTAAACCACAAAAACAGTTGGTTTCAGG